TGCGATGTATCCTGCTCTCACATTCTCGCGCCATCGTGGATTAATCATTTAGTAGGTTGCGAGACGACTTTGCCATTCTGCTCCAAACGAGATTTCGGAAAGCCCCAGAAGCTTAGTCATCTTTCTGTTATGAACGTGCTGAAAGATCCTGTTGGGCATACCTGTGTTCTGGATCAGCCCTTCGTCTTGTCTCACTGTGGCGATTGATGATCCCAGTGCTGCTGCATTTCGAAACTTGCTACTCATCTTCATGTGATCCAATTCTTTCCACAAATCCTTTTGATCGTCTAAATGCCGCAGTAAAAAAAAGTGAACTCTATCGCTTTTCATCTACTCGGAAAGCCATGAACCAAGCATGCGTTTTGGAAACTTTTGTGGACTGGACTATAGCATACCGGGAGCTGGAAAATTAAGGATGATCTCGTGCTTCGGTGGGTGCTTCGAGCCGACCGTAGTCGTCACTGAATTCCACTTAACTAAGATTGAGACTTAGAAACTGTATAGCAAAAGTTGTAGAGGACAAAGAGAGTTCAGAGGTGTTTAGGGGGCTGCGTAACTATGCCACGCCTTGTCTTCTCTGCCCTGTCTCGTCCTGTCTCGACAAGACGTTTCGTATCAGTAAAGAGCACGATCCTACTATTCCATTACAGAGGACGCAGACGAGCAGGTATGACGTGACATAATTGGGGCACCCCCACGACCCTGTCCAACTGTCTTTGTACTGCAAAAACAGCGCCGTACTTGGGGTGTTTTACTTTGGTGAAGATTCCCTTTCCACCTGATGCTTAAAGGTCTTGGTCTTCTTCAGGCAGAAAATAGTCTTTCAAAGGTTTTTCTCAAGAAAAATGGTGTGTTTGGCGAGTGAATGAGGGAGACGCTGAGGTGTGCTTGATATTGGAATCGCAGTGCTAGTGGTGCAGCATTGGTGACTTTTTGAGGAATAGATATGAGGAATAGATACCTTTTTCCCGACTGGGAGCTGGCACGCTGGTGATCATCGTTTCCAGTTTTTCTTGGGAAGCTTGATTGCCTCGTGACTCAGACTAGAAGAATACTTCTTCAGATTCTAAGACCATCGTTCATAATAAGGGACTAACCTGTTGTGCGCGTAAGACTTCCTGTGCGACTGATTCTGAAAGAATCTTTTCTCACTGCTACTCTGAGAAGAGTCTTGAAGCGGGACAGAAGCGATGAAAAAGTTTTTGAACTTTGAAAATTTCTCAAAACTATGGTGAAAGGTCCGCATTCTGTCGCACAGTCTAACTATGAACCGAAGAACGGGAAAAACCGTCTGGGCAGAGAACTAAGAGATAAAAGAGGATGTGTAGCAAAATTAAAATTAAATTATTATTAAGTCGTTCATCTAATTAATAATTATTGAATTTTTATTAATAAATTCATGAATTAAAGCAGCTAACAAATAGGGAATTTCTAATTATTATGGTAAATTGCTTACTTGTATGGCTTTCCACTGCTATTAATAACACTGTCAAGCCGAGCCGCCAGCCCATTCTGAAAGAACTTTCTTGAGGAGGTTGTCGAAAAAGAAATGAAACCTCAAAGAGCGTAAAACGGACACGAGCAACGACGAGCATTGCAAGAACTGCATGAAAACAGTGGATTTATCTACAGTTTACTGCCCCAGCTTGTGAAGCTCGGACCAGGACTGCGACCTGTCTGTCTGTCCCTATGGTATATTTACCCCTGAACTAAAGTGAGCAAGAACCCCTTTTGCCGCGGAGCCACTTACCGCGTTACAGGGGGCAGCCTGGTTCAACACCGGTATGTGTAGCGCTAACTTCAGGCGGTTTCGTGCTAAGGGGGACTAGACCAGCTAAGGACATACGGCGAGCCAAGTCGTCACTTTCTAGTCGCCTATAGTTATTCTTTTTTTTGCTGGAGCTTAGCTGGATGTGGTAATCGCGTTTAGAGGATAAAACTACCTCTGGGGGACAAGTTTTCAGCCAGTTTGGTGATTTAAGGAGTTTTAGCGATGGAGGCAGTCGACGTCATTGGCACGGGCGTCAGTGGTATTCATGGGTGGCAAATGTGATATTTGTTCTTAAGAAGTGGCAAAACCTCCCTGAACCGGCACTAGAGGGTAGACAGTGCCCCTGGGAGCTGGAGTTGAGTCAGTTTCACTTTCAGAAAGAATTTCGGTGAAAACCTGGTCTCATTTTTGAGGACTGGGGCAGTAGAGAGTAAATAGTAAAAGAGTAATTTAAATAATAGTTAGATGAGCGTGAGTCTCTCGCTCGAAGGCAGTAAGAGATGTGGAGTTGGTTGCTTTAAAAAGTAAAGGCATGTTCTTCAGAGTGGATGGGAAGATCTTGAGCCGCGAGCTTGTTGCTTTTACAATGTCACAGAAGAAAACAGCGAACAGATCAGCAATGGCACTCTCAAGGTTTCGGTGAATTTCATTTTTTTCGCATGAAAATTCTGTCCTTTAGACAAACCGTTCCAAGGAATGTCTATGGATTTTTTGCTTTAGAGATGGATAAGCGCGCTAAAACTCCTGAAGAACGGCGATTTTTTGGTTTGTACTGAATTCTTCAGTTTCACTGCTGTAGATCGCACGAGTACCCTCAAGTGGACTGTCAGTCTTTCCGTTTGAAATTGGCCCAGAAAATTCACCCGTCAAAATGGGGTCATTGAGACCGTGGTCTAGGGCTCTCCAGAAGGGGAGGTAAGCGATGGTACTCATGTAGGGAACTCTACTGAGTGACCGAATTGCAAGGGCGTTAGTGAAACAAGACCTTTGCATAGGTTAGTTAAAAGGAATATAATTTGCAGAGAAAGCTACAGTAAGTTAAAATAGACAGCGTAGGTTCAATTGAAGAGATTAAAGAGACAAATCCTGAACAAACTTGGAGTTTCCTCCGCTAATGCCTGGAGGGCGCTATTCGCCTCAGAGTGGCTTGGAGGGGTGTGGGACACTTTCGCTGGTTTCTATTGCTAGTTCCTGTCAAATTACACGCTTAACCTTGGTAAGACCTGTAGGCTCTTGTCAAGTGTAATAGATTTTGAAAAGAAGAGCTCCAGCTATTGCATAGCTTCACGAGAATTTAAAGGCCTGTAGAAGAGGAATTGCCAGTGATCAGTGGGAACCAGCGAAGTGCCCCTTCATGCCGAACTACCCTGATCTGAATGACTATACCTTTAATGAAAGTCCTACTAATCCTAACGTGGCGCACAAGTTATTAACAACCTTGTTGGATAAAGGTGAGAACGGAATGACTTAGAGAACCAGCCTCCCTAAGTGGATGAAAGTTAACGTAGAAGAGCATTTAACGCTAAAAAGGCTAGCAGCAGCTCTAGAGACCAGATCCAGGCAGTGTTTAGCGTGTTAGCGTTCGCTTGAATTCAATTGCCTTACTTCTATGCTCGTACATAGGGCTTGTTTTTAAGGGTGATTTCCTTGTTTTTACTAAAGTTCTCCAGCGCTTTGAGCGACAAGTAACGAAACCACATGACACTTGAACACTTTCGAATTTCACTTGAGGAAAACCGGCTATGTGGGGAAAAGTCGCTACGGGTTGCCGTGGTGTAAACAGCTGTCGTGATACCCCGTCTCAACCGGGAATGATGGGTACGGTATCAGTAACTCCGGAATGCGGCTCGCACGCGATTCCTGTAGGCGACCTTCGACAGAATTTGGAAGCTGTGAAAGCGCTTTAATAAATTCCACCCCACAAACTATTTTTATTTAGACTTCGATCGAACTTTTTCCTCGTGGCTAGTTAAAATTCTCTAAAGTGTGGTTCCGAGGTGTGGTCTTTATCGCTAAAGCTAGTCGGAGCTTGGTTTCTGGCGCCGCGCCAGTCTTCCCACAGCACATTGAATGCTCAAAGAAAGCCAGACCTCGATCACTTCCCATCGCGATTAATAAAAGTGAGCTGCCCGCGAGTGCACTCCCACGACACGTCCCGGATAACTTCAGTAATCGACAGTAGTTTGACATTCTGAACAAGAATATTGCATCCGATGGATTCGAAACTGCCTGGAGCGCCGGGAACCACTAACGGGAACAGGAAACTTGTGCCAAGGGTTAGCTCGACCCTGTCAATACCATTTTTAGTTGGCACGAAACGCCTGTAGAACGCGACACAGGCCCCGGCGCCAGAACACCACATAGCATCAAAGTCTTTTCGAAAGTCTTGTGTGAAGGGATAGCTAGACATCATCACACCCACTCAGTGCTTAGTGTGTTCTCTCCTAGCGCCGGCTTCAAAACTCCCTCCAGAGGTGACGCCAGTGGAAGTCGGGCACCAGGCTCTTCGGCTCCAAATGGAGTGCTGTTCGTTTCCATGAGGTCAAACTACCCCGAGAAAGTTTTGGTTGAATCCACCCACGAAAAAAAGACTCCCATACGGAAATGCAACCTAATTTCCAAGGGTGGGGCAGTAAAGCCTTAATAGACCCTAAATTCACCTGCTGTTTTCAATAAACTAGAACTAACGTCGCTTTGTTAATAGCTCTGAACGCCTCCGCTTTCAGCTGCTAGAAGATGTTCGGACTATTGCAAGAGTGGGTGGCTCACGACGTTCCCGCCCTAGGTGGGATCTTACTCGACTTCCCTTTCAGAGCTAAATTTGGCTTGTTTCGCTGGATTAAGAAAACGTGGTCTGATTACACACCATAATCCCCTGTCGCGCTCTTCTCTCTAGACATTAGTCGGTCACACTTTTAGGTCTCTGGGAGTGTATGGAAAAGCAATGCGAGCATTGCAGGTAATAGTTTCCAGGCGTCATTCAAAGGAAATAGTCAAGAGCTCCCAAGGTGCTTGTTATGCAGAATTGTATGACATCAAACTCGTTACGCAAGGGCGAGGTGAACGAGTAAAAGAACGAGAGTCTTTCCTCCCATATGCCTTATGCGTTAACTATTATGAATCGAAACCACTTTTTTGAAGTTTCGCAGCACGTTTCATTGAACTTTTGTGACGGTCTAATTCCTAGGCATTTCGTGGTTGGACCGGAACATGTTTCTTTCTTTGTCGGGGCATCGAGAAACCAATAATCAGAAGAAGGGCATATTGCCGAGATATGTGAAATGGCGCTGTTAGTACGACGCGTTCACGCCGAAAGTGAAATGGTGTGTCCTTAAAACCCCAGAGAAAGGGTTTTGGTACCAAAGTTGGGTACCAGTCCTCCACGATCAATGCGCCAACGATCGCCCCACATTCGTCATGCACCTCGGACGAATCATCAAAAGATATAGTGCATCGGCGTTAATGCCTGATAGACTGCGTTGAAATATGGAAAAAAAAAGCCGCGAATTTAGTCTCAATATCACGTACGGAGCCCTGGCTTGAATGAGATTCATACAGCGCATGAGATACGCTATCTGAAGAGTATTGTGATCTTTGGTCTGATCGAACTCCTTCCTGTACCGGCTTCAACCCCGGTCGTGTGAGAATAACGTTAGATAGCCACTGATAGGAAGTGTTCACCCGAGCTCAGAGCAGATCAACGCGCTTGACGGATTACGAGAAAGGCTTCATTGAATGGTTACTGCCCCTTCCGGGAGACCGTACTTAGAAGCGTTAATATTTTCTTAATATAATGATTGATTTCTCAAAAATTGTTTCCTCGGCATCAGAGACAAGTGGAAAAGTCAGATACGAGCGAGTAGCCAAATCATGTTGCTAGGATGATAATTCCTTCTCGACGTGGGCGGGAGGGTCGTAATGCGTCGCTGGAGGGAGAGAGTTGTGGGTGCGTATTCTCTTCGACCGTCTGAGAAATATTGCTGACTTTCTGTAGCACCTCGTATTATTTTTATTTTTTTCTTATTTCTTCATAACCTCTCTTTTTGTTTCCTCCATCTACCGTCTCCCTGCTCCACAGGCAGAATTTTTGGGAGAACTACTAGTCCAGTGAAATTTTCTGGTTAAATTCGGGAAAAAGTCGATAGGACAAGTCGCAAAAAAAGTCAAAGTAAAACAGTGGATAATGGGCTATAACATACAATTCCTCCTCCGTCGGACATGCTCTGATGGATTGAGCCTAAGGCAGTGACGTACCAACCCACCTTAGGCCAAATGAGTAGGTATTCCTTTCTGTCGCATGAATTCGACCAAAATCCCCAACTACCGATGTGCGGTACAGGCAAAGTTAATCAACCAAATGAAATGATAGATGCGTTTTTCTGAGAGTAGTTTCTACAAAAAACTGTACAGAGGGGAAATCAAAATTAAAACAAAAGTGTATTATAAGGCATATACAAAAAGGTACTATTAGTTTCACAAAAAGCCTAAAAAGACAGAAAAAAAGGTAGAGAAGACCAAAGAACGGTCCTCATCTTCTTATGCCCTCTAAAGAATGCCGTTGAAAAAGGCAGAAAGAAGCGCTTATATCAAAAGGAACACATTTTCAGATCAATGAGTAGCCTTCCATTTCCCAGGTGGGCGGCCGTTGAAACAGGCGGAAAGAAGCGGTTATATTGACAAGAACAGTTTTTTCAGATAAATGAGACAACCTCTCTTGTTTTCCGTTCCGATGAATTAGCT